CAATTTTAGCATCCATGTGTATATGGGGATTATTTTACCATTATTTGATACAAATAATTTCTATAAATTTGATATTTGATATCAAAGTTCACTTGATATTTACCTTGAGGGAGGTTTCAGAGATGGCTTGAAAGAAGGTATAGTAGGTATAGATCAGCAAATAGGGACTTTCCAGAAGCCTTTTGGCTAGGTCTTGCAGAGACTTACATTGTACCTTTAACTTCCTTTTTGGGTCAGTTTGCATGCAAAAGTGAAGTGTTGTTCTGCAGATTGTGTATATAACCTGGTTAGCATCTCTGAATCTTGTCAGCTGCTTTACAAGTGAATACTCCTGATTTCAGAGGAAATCATGTGAGTGTGCAGTAACTTACGACATTAACTGGAAAATCAACTCAGAGAACATGAACTTTATATACAAACCATAACACAGCACATCTATTGCCTTGGTTCAGCATAGCTCAGGACAGACTGGGGACAGGGTGATAGTGCTTGATGACAGTCACAGCTATAGACTGCCACTGATGTGCCTTTGAAGGGCCTAAGGATATAGTTGTGGAATGATTGCAAGAACAAAAGAAGATTGACTCTCAAGACAGCCATGTGATATGTTCATCAACCCTACAATATGTTTATTTAGGTGCCCCTTAGGGTGACATGCTTATAAATAGCCGAAAGTCCATATCACCAAAGACTGCATTGGGAAATGTTTTCATTGATGTTAGAATGTGACACTAACTAGCAAATATGGAAGCATGAGAGAAACCACTAAAAGAAGTGAGAAGTTAGTAAGAAACAATTAGTGATAGGTTGAAAAAGATATTCCACTTTCACTACCTGAGAACATGGAGATAACCTTGTACTGTATATGCATTGCAGGACTTGCACAGCTGTTACAGGTAATAGCTGTAGGCCTAGTCCTCATACTTCATGTAGAGAAAGAGCTCAGTATAAGCTCAGGCCCCCTGACAATGAACCAAGAAGAAATAAAAACCAGTCAAAGTTCACATGGGTGGAACTGTATGAATAACAGCTTTACCAAATATCTGTGTTGCCAGTTGTGGTTTTTTACATAACTATAATCTTCATTTCCCTTGGAGGTAATCATTTTCATTTTTTCCATGAGGGAAATAAGGCTTGTTGGGGTGACTCCCCTAGTTGTATATAGCTAGTTGTTGGCCATACTTTATCATCTATTCTAGGGCACCTTTTTGTTTTTTTAAACTGTCTCAAGGGACGATATTTTGGCAATTGGCAGGACTTTTTGTAGTGCTCATAGATAGGAGCAAGAAATGAATTTTGATGAGAAGTAGATGTAGGTATTTAGAAGCTAATATTGGATTTTTAGCAAACACTTATTTCCTGATATTTATATATATACTTTTTTTTTAAAAATTTTTGATTTTTTTGGTACCAGGGATCAAACTCGGGACCTTGTGCTTGCGAAGCAGGTGGCGAAACCACTGAGCTAAATCCCCAGCCCTAAAATATATTTTTATTGTAGGGCTTTGACTTTGGTCTGAAATGTAGAAATATAAAATTATAATTATACATATAAGAATTATATATAAACTCAATTAGGTTTATATAGTAGTTTTATAGACATAAGTGTTACTGGATATGTAACAGTTTATTGTATATTATAGCATATAATATATAATACATAGTATATGTGATGGTATATAATCTAGTATATATAGTGTATACTGTAGCATTAATATAGTACATTAATTATATGTAATATTTAGTATGTATATGAATTAAATGAGCTTTCTATATTACCTATGCCTTACCTATCACATTTAATGAACTTTATTAGGTGATATGTAGTATAAATGTGAAGTATAAAATATTAAGTGATAAATAAGCTCATTTAATTCATATATATTACATATATATTCTTAATATACTGTATTAATTATAATAAATGATGTATGTAAAGATTAATATGGAAATCTAAATTCTTTTTTCTTTCTTTTTTTTTTTTTTGGGTACTGGGGATCAAACTCCGGTCCTTGTGCTTGTGAGGCAGGCGACGGAACCACTGAGCGAAATCCCCGGCCCTGGAAATCTAAATTCTAAACAGGATCTAATTTTTTTTTTTTCTGGTATTGGGGATCAAACTCAGGACTTTGTGCTTGCAAGGCAGGCATGGTGCCACTGAGTTAAATCCCCAGCCCCAGTTAGCATCTAATTCTAAAATGAAGACTCATTTGCTCTTTTAAAGAGGAATGATACATTTTTATTATATGGGTGGGATCGAATGAGTGTCTTTAATGGTAGAGAGAACATTGGTCTAGAGATTAAGGGTTACTACTTCTGTTAGCTTTGAAGGCTCTCAAAAGCAGGGAGTTACCATAGATTTGCTGGTCTCTCCAAATTCCTACACACATTGAGTGTGTAAGAGTAAGCTTGTCTGCCAAGGATAGGTCTTGGGCTGGAGATAAGGGATTTAGATTTCACTAATTTATCAGGAGCAGCTCACAATCAAGGGACTGGATGAGAGTGCCAAGAATACATGGAATGCGGAGAGGATAAAGGCAAAGAACAGCATGTAGGGCCCTTGAACATTTGAGTAGGCAGCAGAAGGGAGCCCTACTAAAGAAAGAAGATATGGCCAGAGTCCTTAGAGAATCAGCACAGTGGACTGTCAGAAAAGTTGAGGGAGGAGTTTTCACAACCATATAAATGTAATAAAATATATTTATATAAACATGAATAACAAAGGTTATTTATTTGACTACTGGTGACTTTTATAAGAATACTTTCACAGTTGTCCTTGGTGTAAAAGCCAGAGTGGTGAGTTAAGCAAGTAGAAATTGGAAGAAGGTCCTTGACTCAGGACGGTAATCTTACCCAGTCACTTGACATGGAAACCCTGGGGTCATTCTTAATGACTTCCCTTCATTTCCACATCTAGTCAGACACCAGATCTGGTAGTGAAGAGGGATGTTTGAGTTTGGATTTGACTCAATTCCTGAGTTCCTACGTTTGAATCCTGGTTATGCTGATAAATTGTATGATCCAGGGAAAGGAGTTTTTGCTATTTCCGGGTTCCTCTCCTACAAAATAGAGATAGTAAAATTTATCTCATAGTCTTGTTAAAGATTAAGTGAGTGAAATTCTTAGGTTAGTGTAGTACCTGGCCCATATGGTAATAAGTACTTTGTGAGGGTTAGCTATTTGGAGTCCTAATTATCTTTTGATTATGTTTTCTCCTGGATTACTATAATAGTTCCTCCTCTTACAACTTTATTTTACAATAATGTAAATACCATGAAATCCACTTGTTTTAAGTGTACGATTCCACACCCTTTAATAAATTTACTGTTTTGCAGCATTACTACAATCCAGTTTTAGAACGTTTTTATCATCCCAGAAAGATCTCTTATGCTCATTTATGGTTAATCCCTGTTCCTACCCTAGCCCTAGGTAACTGCTTAGCAGTGCCTTTTCGATAGTGTTGCCTTTTCTGGGTGTTTCATATAAATAGAATCATAATATTTGTGGTCTTTTATGTTTGGCTTCTTTCACTTAGCTTAATTTTAGATCTGTACACAGTGTAGCTTTGTCAGAACGTCATTATTTATTGCTGAACTGTATTGTATAGATACATAATGTTTTGTTTATCTGTTCACCAAATATTTGTTCCCACTCTTGCTGTTATGAATAATGTTGCTATGGACATTCCTGTACATGTTTCTGGGTGGACATATGTTTAGTAGCTTCTTAATTGGTCCTTTAGCCTCCTTCAAGGGTCCTTCTTCTGTTCTTATCCCTCTCCAATCTGTTCTTTACAGTATAGCCAAAGTCATCTTCCTGAAATGTAAATCTCATCATGCCATTACCATGCTTTGAATCTTTTTGTAGTGCCTGATTGTCATGTGGATTTAACTGAAGGGTTTACTAAGAGTTTTTAAAATCATAAATCTCTGCCTTTCCTCTATGTCTTCTCTTTCACTATGCCCCCTTTTTGTGCTTCATCCATTTGTTTATTCATGACATTTTATTCATCTATTTAACCCTTTTATTAACCAAGCTTATTGAGCCTCTGAGGATATGCTAATAGGACAGCCAACTCCTTGCTTTCATGAATCTTTTTCTCTAGTCTGAAAGTCAGACAATAAACAAGAAGCATCAGATAGTGGTAACTACTATCACAAGAATAAAAAACAAGGATACAGTAGTAACTGTAGAGCTGATGACTCAAATCTCCAGGCACAAGTATTATTCCTCAGAACCTCTGCCCAATTGCTAGCTGCCTACATATGTCCATTTGGATGTCTAAGGTGGCAAACTTATTTCTCATGTATGTTTAAAGTGATCCCCTCTTCCTAGCCCATTCTCTTCCTATCCTCTGTACATCTTCTGTTGTAAGTCTTCCCTGACCTTCTGCTCCAGCACTATCCCCATTTCCATTACAGGCTAGCAGACTCAAGTTACACCCTTCACATTATATTTGAATGCCTGCCAGTTATGTGTTTATTCTACTTCACTTTAACTTGATGAGTTTGTGAATTCTCAAAGTGTGTCTAGTTCCTGGCACATAGGACCTTAAAAAATGTGTTGAAAGAGCGACTGTATGTGGTTAATCTTGAACAGGAGGGAGGGAGGAAGGAGCAGTTTTCATTGAGAACATTGGGAAGGAAGGAGCTAAGGCTTGCAAATACATAAGTACATTTGTGGGATTAGGGGAGAAAAGTTGAAGAAGTTCTGATGGCTTACATTTTCTCTGAGAATACAGTTCAGTGCACAGCATAAAACAAGGACAAAGTTTTTTCTGATGAGCAATTAGTAGTGCATTAGAAGAAATAAAGGAGTAGTGTTGTGTATCTTGAACTTTTAAAACCATTCTCTTACAACTAGTTTTAGAGTTATTAGATTTAGTCCAATTTTCTGAAGGCTATTTGTTGTACACATTGATGTGAAAGACTGAAATTTTCAGATGTTACTGCACTGTTTTTTCTTTTATCATTGATTTTATTTTGATGTTGCTTTTTCAGCTGTCAGAAAATGTAATTGATCGAATGAAGGAATCCTCCCCATCTGGTTCGAAGTCTCAGCGGTATTCTGGTATTTATGGTGCCTCAGGTATCTGAAGCATTTTAATTTCTGGGTTTTTTTTAATTGAAAAATTGTAAGTGGAAAATGTTCATTCAGTAGTCAAATTCAACTGCCCTCTGACTTTTGCTTTTTGGATATTCAAATTTTTATGGGGAATGTTAGAAATCATCAGGGATTTTAAGAACTTTAGCACTATGAATGAACTTACTTTCAAACTGTCTTTGGAAATTTTGTTTTCTAATCTAACTCCTAAACCCTCTCATAGGTATTAGAAGATGATTTTAAAACTTTATGTGTAAAATAGATTGCTAATAGGATATTGGGTATTTAGGAGTAAATATTTATAAAAGTTTGAACTTAGAAAAATAATGATTTACTGTTCCAAATTCTTAAGTATTTCAATCAATGTTGTTTTCTAATAAAAGTTTTGAAGTTTATAAAATATTTACTTCATCATAGTCAATCTTAGTTATTGATAAAAATATGGCATTAAGTGAAATTCATAGAGAATTAGGAAGCCTTATTCTATCTGGAGATCTTGCTGCATAAGAAAGGGGTAAAAGGATGTGAGGGCAATCTGGCTGCAACATGTCACCCCATTGATCGCCAGGGTTGATTTGGCTGATCTGGCTGGCTAGGCGGGTGTCCCCTTCCTCCCTCACCGCTCCATGTGCGTCCCTCCCGAAGCTGCGCGCTCGGTCGAAGAGGACGACCACCCCCGATAGAGGAGGACCGTTTCCTCGGTCAAGGAGTAGCTGCGCTCCCCTGCTGGAACCTCCAAACAAGCTCTCAAGAAAGGGGTAAAAGACCTAACACTGTTTCTCTTCTTTTTCTCCTTTCCCAACGCACCCATCTGTTGACCTACAAATACTTACTGAGGGTTTGCAAATTGTCTAGTACTGTTCTTAGTACTGCCCAAGTGGTGGATGGGCATGCAGTTTATTGTGAAAAGCAACAAGAAAATAATTAAGATGATTAATTTTATACTAATTGAGACTTTGCTATGTTTATTAGAAAGGGATAAATCTTGCTAAAGGTTGTGAAATTGAGAAAGATGAGATGTTGCTGCCCATCTGCCATTCACTTGGGGCAGTTGTGGGCCCCCCCCATCATTAAGTAAGTAAACATGAATTGGGCTTCTAATATATTCAGAATAAGGGCTACCAAGATGAATAAGAAATAGTTTTTGCCCTTTCCAAGCAAGAGTTGAGAAAGATTCATGGGTTACTAACACTAAATAGACAGTGAGTACTCCTTCCTAGCTAGAAACTCTGTCTTCTGGGTCACACTCTTGGTTTTCCTCTCACCTTGTAATCATCAGCCCAGGCTTCTTTGCTGATTCTGTAACTAATACTTTCCAAATGTATGGCTTTGAAATCATGATCTAGATGCCTAATGATTTGTCACCTCTCTATAACTCCAGACTTTTAATGGACAACTGTCTACCTTGAAATCTTCGCTCAGAGACCTACAAGTTGACATATCCCAAACAAACTTTTTTATTCTCCTCAGGCTTGCTTCTCCTTTCCTTCTTTCCCAGAAAAGGGCACAAATAGTTAAGCCACAATGCAGAGATTCATCCTTATTTTCTCTTTTCTGACTCTTTATATCAGGCTTTTGCTAGTCTTGTTGACTCCATCTGCAAGATATGTTGGAATATACTATATCTTTTCAGGTCTATTTCTGTGCTCTAATGCAGATAGCCATCATCTTTTATCATATCTCCCATTAGAGCTGCCTACCTGGTTCCTGTGCTGTGCTATGCACATAAAGGCCCTCACAGTTTTTGAAAAAGCAAATTAGTTCATGTCTTTTCCCAGTGGTGACTCTCCATGTTACGCAGAATGTCATCTGAACTGGTTTTCGGAACAAGGTGTACCACGACTGGCCACTCTGCCTTTTCAGCATCATCTCATCATCCATTACGGCCCACCATCCTCCCGTACTTGCCCACTGTGACTGTTATCTTCACCAGAAAATGACCACATCAGCCTTTGTCTCTTCCTCAGTTTTTTTTCTTTTTGGTACCAGGTATTGAACTCGGGTCCTTGTGCTTGTGAGGCAGGCGGTAGAACCACTGAGCTAAATCCCTGGCCCCAGCCTTTGTCTCTTATCTCTTCACAGGTGAATTGCCAGCTTCTAGGATAGTACCTGTTTCTTAATGAGTCATTAGTAAGTATTTATTGAATTAATATAGGACATATCTCAGCCATTTTAAAGTAACTACTTTTGATCATTTTGGAATATAATTACATTAATTTTCTTAGGGTTTTGTTGTTGTTGTTGTTTTAAAACAGGATTGTTGTTGCTATGTAGTCCAGGCTAGCCTTGAAGTTGTTGTAAGCCCAGGGTGCCCTTGAACTCATGATCCTACTGTCTCAGCGTCCTAGGAGCTGAGATTACAGGTGTGTACCACCACATCTGTCTATGAATTTAAGTGACATTTGTTGAATGTCTACTCTGCATATAAAATTTTGAGGTATTTGCATAGGACACAAAAATAGAAAAAGATCTGTCCTTTCAAAGAGATTAGAGATTTTGGACAGATAGAACTAAATAGTAATAATGAAGATAAAATCATAGTGTAAAGAAGCCCAGAAGATACTGAAATTATATATGTCACATAGTTTGGATTAAGAATGCCTTTTGAGGACTAAAACATATAATAGGTAATGTGAAATAGGAAGAAAAGGGGCAAAGGGGAAGGAAGTGGGAGGGGTAGGGGAAAGGAAAGAAGGGAATGGAATTAATATGAGAAAATGGAAAAATAGGAACAAAATCTTTGTAAATAGGGAGGAATGGAGGGGTTGAAGGGAGGGCTGGGCAAGGGTGAAAAATAAGAACCAAAAGAGATTATGTAAAGGTGCAAATTTCCAATGATGAATGTCATTATATTGTATACCTAAAATGTACCAATGATTAGAATGAATAATCGATAATGGAAAATAAGAAGAAAAGGTCCAAAGGGGTAGGGGTAGTGGGAGGGGCAAGGGAAAGGAAAGAAGGGAAAGGAAAAAATGCTGAGAAATGGAAAAAATGGAAATAAAGTCTTTGTAAATATGGAAGGGTGGAGGGGGTGAAGGGAGGGCTAGGAATGGGGAAAAAATAAGAACCAAGATGCATCGTGTAAAGGTACAAGTTCCCGATGAGAAATGTAATTGTGTTGTATACCTACAATGTACCAATAAAAGAATTTAAGAAAAAAAAAAAGAATGCCTTTTGATATGTGCTATTTCTAAAATTGATATTCTAAAGTATAATTTGTTCTAGGGAGATTATTTTTCTACCTACTCTAAGAAGATAAGATATGGAGAAGAAATAGTGATTAAATAATGATAGATAACACTTAAATAATGTTTATTATGTGGTAGGTGTTCTGTTAAACCCTTTAGATATTTCTTATCTCATTTACAACCCTATGAGAAAGGAACTGTTGTTAACCCATTTTCCATAGAAGGTAACTGAGACTTGAAGTGATTAATTATTTTGCCCAAAGTCACATAGGTGGTAAGCAAAGAGGTGAGAATTAGATTCACACCCATCTGAAGACTCCAGAGAAAATGCTGTTAATCATTGTGTTTTGCCATAATTTGAATGACACCTTGCTTCATTTGTAGAAAGGAGGTGATAGAAACTGGTCGGAAGAAAGGAGCTGCCTTCCAGTGATGTCCTGATTGAGTTTAGGAAAGAACCTTCAGTCTTTAAGTGCTTGTTACTTCTTCTAGCTTTTTCACATATTGACTCATGCAACAGTAAGTGCAAGAGAGAAAATGTTTTCCTTTTTGGTTGGTTTCTTAAACTGGTACTTTGACAGTGTAGGTGGGAGTTGGCAGACTCCTGTGTTGTATATGGCCTGTAGAGCATTCTACTGATTACATGATATGCTCTGGCTTTGTTGAGGGATCCATCCCTTCCCATTCCAGGTTGACATGGCCAACAGACTCTGGTCCACCTGACAGCCTAGGCACTGGAAATCTTAGAATGCTCCTTTATGTTTTAATGGTCAGGCTAGGATTATACTCTCTAAATGGTAGCCACTTTTCACATGATACTATTAGAAGTTACATAAAATTAGTAAAATAAAAGTGTCATTTTTTTCACTAGCACTGGCTAGATTTCATGCTCAGTAACTGCATGTCACTAGTGGCTACCACATTGGAAAGCACAGATAAGAGTACATTTTTACTGCGTGGCTGTGGTGTAGAGTACTCCAGTGCTTGGCATTGTGAGCCTTATCAGATAGTTTTAATGCTATGATGACTGAAATAATGGAGGTTCGTGACTCTGTACATTTGTGCTTGTGAATCTTATTTCTTTTCCTTTCTATATCCCATGCCCCAGTAATAAGGGCAAATGAGAACTTCTGGGAATGTTCCCCTTGGGTATGCTATATGTTAACTTGGTCTTTGGCACAGCTCCTTAGCCTTGGAGTAGTTGGATCATGTGGGTTGGTCCATGTACCATGCAGATAGTTTGTTCATATGAAAAGTCTCAGCAAGCCTTCTCTCATCCATTCCAATCTAATCTAAGAAAAAAACTAAGTTCGGCATACTGTTTTGAAATGCTCTTACCTTTAGGTTAAGAATGCAATTAGACTGGTTGTGTATAGTAGCAAATTTATTCTTTTTTTAGAATGAATATGTTGATAAAAGTAGAAAGCTTCAAAATTTTTATTCTTTTCTACATTTGTCTCATTTAGGGATTTTAGTATTCAAAAATAGATTTATGATTTATAATTTAGATGTATTATAAAATAATATTTCAAGTCTACAAAATTATATTGATAAAAATGTCTTTTCTACATTTTCAGTGTCACGTAAATTATATATTAAATGTGAATTGAATTTTTAATATTTATTGAAATGCTTTTTTTCTGATAGGACTCTTTGTTCTTACCAGCCCCAGGCTGTTCATGTGTGTGAATATAGGGCAGTATATTTGATGGGCTGAGAAGCCTAGCATTTCTGAATGTAGAAACTGAGTCTTGTCTATATATAGTTTTGAGAAATATAATTTATACTTTAAGA